TTGTAAAGATATAGCTCAATGGAACAATAGTGGAACGATGTAAACGTTGACATAGCAGTAAGTTACTCTTATTGCATTAAATGTTGACAAATTAAGATTAGTGTATATAATAATATTTACAATAGATAATTTATGGTCGCAAGGTGCTCGTGTTGCAAGCGCTCAACTAAGTGTTCGCTACCGCACTTGGTAAATAATGACGAAATACAGACTATTTTGAAAGCCAAGTAGATTGTACAATTCTGACGGTTTAACTTTGAAAATGTTTGTACATTGAGCTTTTCTCTTCAGATTAACATCACTAAGAAAAACGATAGTTTCACTTGTTGTTTTCTATTGCTAGACAAAGACTGGGAGTACTGAACATTTAACTTTTTTTTTTGGAAAATTTAAAGTGTCTCTAGAATCAAAGGGCTAGTAATTTTTTCTTATATTTATTTTAGCTACAAACCGACGGTTTTGTTTGATATATTGTGGTATGTTGGTATGATAATTTATATCTTATTATAGTGATATGTTAGCATTATCTACCGAGAAAGATAATTGGCTAGTGCTAGTACTTAGTGCTTGCTGGTACATCTTAGTGTGCTTGAGGAAAATAGATAGGAACAACATTTGCTTCAGCTGACAGCCTGTAGCAGCAAGGACTTACTGCAGTTGTAGAGAACTCCGGTCACTGAGGTAAGTCTTTGGCAGCAAGGGTTAACTGCAGTTGTAGAGAAAAAGATTAGTGTACTTAATTCATTGCTTCATGCTACTAAAATTAAGATTGGTGTGCTTAATTCATTGCTTCATGCTACTAAAATTAAGATTAGTGTACTTAATTCATTGATTCATGCTACTAATTTTAGTAGCATGAAGCAATGAATTAAGTACACTAATCTTAATTTTAGTAGCACGAAGCAATGAATTAAGTCTGCGCCTATTTAGCTGAGGTAGTTAAGTACTTCTTTTTAGTTGTAAATAAATATTTATTATTGAAAACATGCCATATCAGCGATGAGTGAGAAATAACATCGATTAATAAAAATAAAAGATCCTTTCGTCCCCTTTGGCTAGTCACTCTTGTCTCCAGAGCTCATTTTATATAGCTCAGCTTAGAACGAGAGTATCATTCGATGTCGCTTCTGCTTCCAGCTCTTTCTCACACGTTATCATCCATAAAGGTAACACACTTTCCAGGTCCATGTAATCTACATGATAACGTGTGTAATATTAACAATATCCTGACGTGCAAAATATTTCCCTGTGTGAATTGCTTCCCTCTAAAGGTTTGGTTAAACAATACTGATTACAATGTAAATGTAAGGTTTGGTTAAACAATACTGATTACAATGTAAATGTAAGGTTTGGTTAAACAATACTGATTACAATGTAAATGT